ATGTAGGGAGATTCCTGAGGAAAAGGGAACCTGTGGGGAAGAAAAAGATGGATAAAAGTTGAGGGACCCCAAGCAGATAGTCCCCATTTTCTCAGTGGACAGAAGAAGGCAAGGCCACCTCTGAGACTGAGGAAGCAGATTCAGGATGGTGCTTGAGGAGACAACAGAAGGTCTCTAGTGACCACTGAGGAGATGAGAGAAGGCAGTGGTCAAAAAATGGATAAGGAGCTGCCCTGAAAGCCCAAGTCAAAATTTAAAGCATGCCTCTGTAGATGCCCCAATCCTCACATCAGGCGGTTTTCTGATGGTGGTTCTTTGAGTGGGGCATTTGGGTGCAGAAGGCAGAGCAAGGAGCCTGGTTCCTACTGGGTCTGGCGGGGAGGCCAAGAAAGGGCGCCCCAGAGGGAGCTGACCCGGGTAGAGGGGAGGGAAGGCGTCTGAGAGATGAGGTCCTGAAGCGGCGAGGGTGGTTTCTTAGTGGCTCAGACGGTAAAGAATCTGCCTGCAATGCAGGAGAGCCGGGTTCAATCCCTGAATTGGGAAGATATGCTGAAGAAGGGAATGGCAACCCACTCTAGTCTTCTTGCCTGGAGAATTCCATGGACAGAGGAACCTGGTGGGCTACAGTCCATGGGGTTGCAAAGAGTCAGACATGACTGAGCAACTTTCACATTCACAGAGCCTCCAGGCAAGTCACAGCCCTTCTGCTTTACCGGAAGGAGAGACCCGCCCCCCCACTACCGGGTCCCACATCACCCCAACACGCTTCAAGAGCTTCCCTCCCCTCCCAAGGGACTTGCTTCTGTGCTGCCTCTGAGTGTGCTTGCCTTCAGGCTGGGGTGCAGTGTAAACACAAAGGGCTGTATGCCACAATCTGAGATGAAAGCACAATTTTTAAAAATTCGGGTAAAATTCACAGAACAAAAAGTGAACCCTTTTAAAGTGCAAAATTCAGTAGCATTCAATCCGTTCACAATGTTTTGCAACTAAAGCAGAACCCCAAAAGGAAACCCACATCTTGGTCATCAATCAGTCATTTTCTATTCCTGTCCCCCCACCCACCCCAGCCCCTGGCAAACACTAATCTGCTTTCTGTCTCTATGGATTCACTTATTCTGGTATCTCATCGAAATGGAAATACAATATGTGACCTTCTGGTTGTTTCCACCTTCTGGCTACTATGAATAGTGTGGCCAGAAACGTTGGTATACAAGTATTTGTTTGAGTATCTGTTTTCTGTCCTCTTGGGTACACATCTAGGGAGAATTGCTGAGTCATATGGTAATTCTATATGTTTAACTTTTGGAGGAACCACTAAACTGTTTTCCACAGTGTCTGCACTGTTTTACATCTCTGCTAGCAAGGTACGAAGGTTCCAATTTCTACACATCCTCACCAACACGTCATTTTATAGGATTTTAAAATATATAAACAACCTAGTGGGTGTGAAGAAGTAATCTCTCTATTTCCGACTTGCATTTCTGTAATAATTAGTGACGCTGAGCATCAGTTCATGTGCTTTCTGGACATTTGTATATCTTCTTTGGAGAAATGTCTATTCAAGTCCTTTGCCCATTTTAAATTGGGTTTTCTTTTTGTTGTTGAGTTGTAAGAGTTTTTCATATATTCTGGTTACTGAGCCCTTATTGTATATGAGAATCACAAACATTTCCTCTCATTTTGTAGTTGTCTTTTGTTCTGCAGTGTCCTTTGAGGCACAAAAGTTTTTAATTTTGAAGTCAAATTTTACTTTTTCTTTTGTTGCTTTTGTTTTTACTATCATATCTAAGACTCCATTGCAAAATTCAAGGCCATAAAGATACACCCATATATTTCTTCTAAGAGATCTATAAGTTTAACTCTTATATTTAGGTCTTTGATCTATTTTGAGTTAAATTAAAAAAAAATTTATTTGTTTATTTGGCTGCATTGGGTCTTAGTTGTGACCAGAGGGCATTTGGAATCTTCCCAGACCCAGGATTGAACCTACATCTCCTTCATTGCAAGGCAGACTCCCCTACCACTGGGCCACCAGGGAAGTCCTTGAGTTAATTTTTATACATGCTGTGAGGTAGGGATGAAAGTACAAACTTTAAATCTATGATCCTTCATAGTATTTTTTTATTTACACTAGCTTCATATATTAGATCATTTATGTAAATAACCTCAGCATTTTCATATTTAATATTTTCAGTTTATCCTTAGAGTGACCTCAAAAGTCAGGGCACATGATCACTGCACTGTTCCCAGAACTTACATTTGGATCCACCAGGCAATAAAGCAGGTGTGCAGAAGTAAATCTCTAAGCAAATAGTTGAGCTCTTAGTTGGCTCCATCAACTCCTGACTCCTGATCCCTCAATGTCATCTCAAGTTCAGATATTCTCATTAAAGACTTGAAGGCATCAAATAAATTAAAAAAACTATACTGCACATGATATTCAGGAATGGTATTAGCAAAATCATATTTTTTTGGTGACAAATTTCAGCATAGCTTCAACCCTTGGGGTGGTCAATCACGGGCTGGATAAATATCCATTAAGAAAGAAGAAACAGAGAGAAGTCTCAGGCTTGCAGAGATGGAAGGAGCATCTTTCCGCTAGCAAAGGCTGCCTCTGAAGCTGAACTCCGAACCTACTGCAATTATCTGACTCATTTATAATCACCTGTCCTTATATAATCTCCATTGTCTGCAGTACACCAATCATTAGTCAACTGCTCTCATGCTAATGCAGTGATTCACTGTGATGAGGAATCGAGGAATTTGCAGGACCTGGAATTTTCAAGGCTGTTGCTAATAAAATGCCTACCAGAGGCCAGGATGTGCTGCAGGGAACTCTGGGGCTGGCAGCCGCCTGCTTCTATATCTCCCCCTGAGGAGATGCCCTGTGGACACATTGATGACTGGTTTATCTTCCATTTAGATGTTCTTTTCCAGACTATAGTTAATCTTAAACAGAGCAAGTCAAATGGTATCTGAAGCTGTTGCCAGGGCAACATGACAAAAGACTTTACCCTTGCTACTGTATATGTAATTTGTCAAAGGCAGCTGGTTCACAGAGAGAGGAAAGAGGGGAACAGGTGGTTAGTTTTGGTCTTTGAAAGAAGAGTTGAAAGACTATCTTCTGGTTAAATCAACTTTAGAAGAGGAAAGCAGTTGTGACCTATGTAATAAAGATTCAGAAAAGTCAGGTTGGGAAGGCTAAGAGTGCAAACCTTAAACTTTCCTTTTTTTTTCTGGTGATATCTGTAAAATAGTTACATGTCAGGGCTTTCAACACCAAGCTGCTTGAAGGCCTAGAGCTGAAAGTATTCCCTGAAGGGAAAGAACTGAGAGAGAGAGCAAGAAATTGAAGAAAGCAACTGAGATATTCAAGTAGGACAGATGCTTAGGAAGTTGGGAGTTCTTTTTGTTGTTGTTGTTTTAAACTTTTTATTTTGTATCAGGTATAGCTGATTAACAGTGTTGTGATAGTTTCAGGTGAACAGTGAAGGGACTCAGCCATACGTATCAGTTCAGTTCAGTTCAGTCGCTCAGTCGTGTCCGACTCTTTGCGACCCCATGAATCACAGCACGTCAGGCCTCCCTGTCCATCACCAACTCCCGGAGTTTACTCAAACCCATGTCCATCAAGTCGGTGATGTAATCCAACCATCTCATACTCTGTCATCCCCTTCTCCTCCTGCCCCCAATCCCTCCCAGCATCAGGGCTTTTTCCAATGAGTCAACTCTTTGCATGAAGTGGTCAAAGTACTGGAGTTTCAGCTTTAGCATCAGTCCTTCCAATGAACACCCAGGACTTATCTCCTTCAGGATGGACTGGTTGGATCTCCTTGCAGTCCAAGGGACTCTCAAGAATCTTCTCCAACACCACAGTTCAAAAGCATCAATTTTTCAGCGCTCAGCTTTCTTTATAGTCCAACTCTCACATCCATACATGACCACTGGAAAAACCATAGCCTTGACTAGATGGACTTTTGCTGACAAAGTAATGTCTCTGCTTTTTAATATGCTGTCTAGGTTGGTCATCACTTTCCTTCCAAGGAGTAAGTGTCATTTAATTTCATGGCTGCAGTCACCATCTGCAGTGATTTTGGAGCCCAGAAAAATAAAGTCTGACACTGTTTCCACTGTCTCCCCATCTATTTCCCATGAAGTGATGGGACCAGATGCCATGATCTTAGTTTTCTGAATGTTGAGCTTTAAGCCAACTTTTTCACTCTCCTCTTTCACTTTCATCAAGAGGCTTTTTAGTTCCTCTTCACTTTCTGCCATAAGGGTGGTGTACAGCCATATGTATACCTGGATCCATTCTCTCCCAAACTCCCCTCCCATCCTGGCTGCCACATAACATTGAGCAGAGTTCCATGTGCCATATAGTAGGTCCTTCTTGGTCACCTATTTTAAACATAGCAGTGTGTACATGTCCATTCCAAACTCTCAAACTATCCCTTCAAAGTTGGGAATTCTTGACACAACTGATAGTTCTTCTCTCCACACACCAGAAGCAGATAGCAGCCACTTGTTCAGGGACAAGTTATGTTATAAAGTTTGGACTGAGCTCAATCCACTCATGTTATCAGTGAAAAGCCAGGCTCATGAAAGATAACCTGCTCGAGGTTACCCAGCTAGGAAAGGGCAGAACTAAGCCAGAAGCCCTGCTTCCTGCTTCCCCGTGATCTTTCCACTTATCTGATGCCTCTGTCCTGTGAACATCAGTTTGTTCTATCTTTGAAAGAAGCACAACCTGGACAGCTTTCAAAGTATGCTCCATGGAGTCAGGGGCCAAGCTTTGAGGGTGCTGGGCACCGCCTGCTCTCAAAGGAATACCTCCCTTTATACTTTAATATCTATTGGGGCTCCACCTACAATTATTTAAGGGAAAAATCATTTTAAAAATCAGAAAACAAATAGGGTTGGATCATAACAAAGCTGACCCAGAGGTTCTGCCCTACTCTTTCCACCATGCCCACCCTCCAGGACCCCTTGGACCTCCTTACCGAGTTGGTGCCGAGGATCTGCAGATTGGGTTTCTCCGACTCAAGCAGCTTGGCCACCATCTTGAGGAAACTCTCCACGAAGAGGTTGATGCTCTGGCAGTGACAGGCCATGAGCAGTTGGTCCAGTGCCTCCATGGCGATGCACACGTATCTGGGGAAAGCAGCACCACTGCCATCACTCAGCCTCATGCTGAGTACTCAGTACTCATCACAAAGTACTCAGCCTCATCACTCAGTCACCCGCATCACATGTCTGGGACAACCTCGATGGCAGTGCAGTGACCACCTGGCAGCATCCAGCTAATACAGCTCTTCCCAGGTTGCCACGTCTGGACAGCTGCTCTATCGAGTGCCTACTCCAGCCCAGCATGGAGAAGCAGAATGAAGCAGAGATGCAAAGGAGCCTAGAGATGAATTCATCGAGCCCCTTACTTTACACACGAAGAATATGAGGACAGACAAGGTATACTGTTTCATGAGGAAATTTGAGCAGAAAGCAAGCAAACCCTAATAACCTCTATCCTTTATTCACAATTCTACTTTCAGAAGCAGCAAAAAACAGGACTGAACATTCTGCTACCTGCTAGCTCTTTAACCACTTGATAACAACAATCTCTTTTACCATGTTCTTTTCTTCTCCGTGCTAAAAATACTCAGTCCTGGGAATTCCCTAGCAGTCCAGAGGTTAGGACTCTGCACTTTCACTTCTGAGGGCCTAAATTCAATCCCTGGTCAGGAAACTAAGATTCCCACAAGCAGCGTGGCATGGCCAAAAAAAAAAAAATATATATACATTACATTGAAAAAGTAAAAATACCCAATCCTTTCCAGGCTAGCCTTTGTAGAACAACCCCTAATTGTTGTCTTCTTCAATGCCTCTCTTAAATCCCAAGAAAAATGCCACAAATCAAATTCCTACTGAGAATTAGGGATGCATGCCTAAACTCAAACCCAACATTTATTCCACGATAGTGACATAATGAGCATATGGTCAGGTAAGGCATGTCAGGAAAGATACATCCCCCACTTACAAATCATTTGCATTCTAAAGAAAGCAAAGCAGACATACACAGAAAAAGGTTATTTTTAACTTCTAATAAGCGAGCCTCAGCAAAACTAACCTGGTTAAAAATGTTATAGTTTTCATTAAGGAGTTAGGTGTTTGGGGCAGAATGCTAGATGTCTCCCCTGGAAACTATTTTTGCCCTTCTCACTGGTTATTTAGAAGTTTCTCTGAACTGTGGCTGCTCACCGGGAACATTTCCCAGCCTCTTCTGTGGCTAGGTGAGGCCACATGACTTAAACATTGCCATTAAAATGAGGGGGAGACAGAGGGATCAGGTGGAGAGGGAGGTGGGAGGGGGGACCGGGATGGGGAATACATGTAAATCCATGGCTAATTCATTTCAATGTATGACAAAAACCACTGCAATGTTGTAAAGTAATTAGCCTCCAACTAATAAAAATAAATGGAAAAAAAAATGAGGGGGAGGGATGCAAGCAGTGTCGAGCATCACTTGCTTGAAAAATAGGCTTGCCCTGTCCTCTGAGTCCTCTCTTCTCTCTTCCTGCTGTTTGCGGAGTGGGAGCAACTGGATGGCCAGAGGTGAAAGTCCCAGATGACCTTGTGGAGCAGAGCCCACTGGCCCAGACTGGACTATTGCTTGAGAGAGAGAAAAAATACTTCTTTACTGCTGGTTGTTTTTCAGTCGCTCTGTCATGTCTAATTCTTTGCAATCCCATGGACTGCAGCACGCCGGGCATCCCTGTCCTTCACCATCTCCCGGAGCTTGCTCAAACTCAAGTCCATCGAGTTGATGATGCCATCCAACCATTTCATCTTATGTCACTCCCTTCTTTTCCTGCCCTCAATCTTTCCTAGCATCAGGGTCTTTTCTGAGTCAGCTGTTTGCATCAGGTGGCTAAAGTATTGGAGCTTCAATTTCAGCATCAGTCCTTCCAATTAACGTTCAGGGTTGATTTCTTGTATGGCTGGAGCCAGTATATTTAAGTCTCTTTATACCTAAATAACACAAGTATCTGATAATCAGATTTAGGAGTGCTTTAGCAACCTGAGGGCACAAATAAAAGTGAATCCTGAGCAATCCAAAGCAACTCACAGGCAAGAGAAGTAAGGGCTGAACATGACTCCATCCTGCAGGAGCAGGGAGTCACTTGAGACTCCGTGGATGAGGAGTGTGGCTCACGTGCCTATTAGAGGGCGGAGATCCCTCTACCTCCAGAACCGAACTACATGGAACAGAAAAGTACTTCCTGATACAAACAAAATGCAGGCCAGACAGAGAGAGTGGACAACTCCAAACCTACCTGGGTGCTGAGGAGTCAGGCTGATGCCTGTAAGTCAAAGCAAGTAGGAAAAGGCCTCTCTTCAAGAAGCTGCCAGCGTCAGGTTTATAGGCCGTGTGTATAATAGGAGACCAATTAAAAGATTTATTCTGAGGACCTCCCTGGCAGCCCAGTGGTTAAGACTCCAGAGTTCACTGCAGTGGGTGCAGGTTCAATCCCTGGTGGGAGAACTAAGATCCTACCCATGCCAAAATAAACAAATAGGTAAAAATTGAAAACAACTTAAGATACTAGTGTCTTAAGTTATTAAAATCTTAAGATCTTGCAGACCCAAGCCTGGCACATTCTGGGTCCACTGTGTAGGTCATGAAGCAGGCTGACTCTTGCAGGGTTGAGGGAGCAGTCTTGGGTGGGGCCCTTCCAAAGGGCTGGCAGGGAAACAAGGACACATTCTGGCAATGAAACACGGCAGGTGGGAAATGGGAGCAGGCAGCAGCATGGAATTCTATTCTTCTATGAATCATCCCAGAGCATCCCAGGTGACACAGTGGTAAAGAATCCGCCTGCCAATGCAGGAGATGCAAAAGATGCAGGTTCAATTCCTGGGTTGGGAAGATACCCTGGCGTAGGAAATGGCAACCCACTCCAGTATTCTTGCTTAAAAAATTCCATGGACAGAAAAGCCTGGCAGGCTATGGTCCATGGGAGTCACAAAGAGTCAGACATAACATGAATCATCCCAGCGTCCTTCAATATGAAGGGTTTCACCATTATTTTACAGAGTTTAAATGAGGGAAAGGAAGGGATGGGGTGGAGTTTGGCAAAAGAAGAAACTAGAAGGCCTCCCAAGACCCAGAGTTTAGATTGCTGCTTTTCCTTTTCCTGTAAAAAATTCCCAGAAAATCCTGATAAGGAAAACTGTCCTTTGCTAGCTGGGGTGCGAGTGGGGGTGGGGGTGGAATTGGCTACTTACCAGGAGTGGAAATTTTGATGGAAAGTGAAAATTATGGTAGAAGTGAAACTGAAAAGTAATGAAGTTTAAGGCCCCTTCTTTTTCTTGAAGATTTTTGTTTTCTTTTGATGTGGATCATTTTTGAAGTCTTATTGAATTTGTTACAATATTGCTTCTGTTTTATGTTTTGGCCTTTTGGCCAAGAGGCACGTGGGATCTTAGCTCCCCGACCAGGGTCAAACTTGAACACTGTGCATTGGAAGACAGTGTCTTAATCACTGGACAACTAGGGAAGTTCTAAAGCCTAGTTATTTGAATACGTACATGCTGTGTGCTAAGTCACTTCAGTTGTGTCTGACTCTGTGTGACCCCATGGAATCTGTAGCCCGCCAGGCTCCTCTGTCCATGGAATTCTCCAGGCAAGAATATTGGAGCAGGTTGCCATTTCCTTCTCCAGGAGATCTTCCCAACCCAGGGATCGAACCTGCATCTCTTAGGTCTCCTGCATTGGCATGCAGGTTCTTCACCACTAGCGCCACCTGGGAAGCCCCTTTGAATACACTCTCTTTCAATCCCCATCTTTAATCCTAACACTAGGGATGGAAGGGCTGTAATTGAGAACTTAAACTTTTCAAAGTATCTTAGAAGACTAGAAGTTAATGGGATCTTGGAACCTCCTAGCCTAATGCTCACTGCTTTGGTCCTATCTTACCATAACCTTCCTGGGTATATCCTATGCTTTAAACCCATATTCTCAAAGGGAAGAAAGTATGGGTTTCTCAGGTGATGTTCACTGAGCAGGACTGGGACCAGGTCAGTCTCAGCAGAGATCTAATCTGAACTTGGGATCCTGGAAGGGGTCCAGTGTAATAATAGGTCTGAAAAACAGACCTGAGTTGTTAGAGCAGGGTGGGGAAGGTTGAAGCTGGTGAAGACTAACCTACTGCAGGGGCCTAGGGGGGAAGGCAAGAGCAGGGCACAGACCACAGCAGCAGGGGATGACCAAGGGTCTTGGATCCACCAGTAGGGCTTCTCAGCAGGTGGAGAAGGCAGAAATCAAGGAATCTGGGATGGACTGGAGTTCATGGGCAGTAACCAAGTCAGGAGTAGCCAGTTAGTAGGTTACAACAACAGGAACTCAGGGTCATGGGCCAACCAAAGCAGAAGGTGAGTAATAACAACTGAGAAAAAGACGCAGGGGGCCCGGTGCTTGGGGAGAAGCAGGAAGTTCCTTGAATTGAATTCTAGAATAGGCAGCTGCTTCTGCTTCCCTGGTGGCTGGGATGGCAAAGAATCTGCCTGCAATGCAGGAGACTCCCTGGGGGAGGATCCCTGGGAGCAGGAAATGGCACTCCAGTATTCTTTCCTGGAGAACTCCATGGATATGGGAGCCTGGTGGGCTACAGTCCATGGGGTCGCAAAGAGTCGGACACGACTGAGCTACTAACGCGGTCACACTTTCTGCTTGAACACCTCTTATTCAGCAAGGAGTGGCCTTAGGACCCTCTGGGAAAGGAAGAGCCAGCATGCAAGGTCTGGGAACCAGACTTGGTTGGAAAGGAGTGCAGATCTAGGGTCAGAGATGGGGACCAGCCAGCAGAGAGAGGGGGCAGCTTTAGCTGGGCCAGTCATCACTTGAGAATCACTCAGAGCGCTGCAGCCTTGACAAAGAACCTCTCATTCTGGGCAGTCTGAATGTATGTAGTCAAGTCCCACCTACCGGACAGAAACTTCTTGGTTTTAGGAGCCCAGAAGCAGGGGTTGACATCAAGGGAAGGAAGGATGAACCTTCCCGTCTGGTAGGAATCTGCAAATCTCTGTTGAAGGGTCAGCTCCACTCTCTAACAGGGTTCAGGGTCCCTCTGGGGACTGTGTATCTCTCGGGAGCCCCACTAAGTCAGTTCTAGGCCCAGGCTCCTGGGGAAGTAGCCCAACTCTTTTGGCATGGGTGTCTCCATCCTCCAGTCACTGGGAAACCTGATGATTCATTTTTTAAAATAATTTTTTAAAAACTGATTTATTTGGCTGCACCAGGTCTTAATTGTAGCATGTAGGATCTTGGATCTTCATTGTGACATTTGGGATTTTTTTTTTTTCTCAGTTATGGTGTCCAAACTCTTAGTTGCAGTATGTGGGATCTAGTTCCCTGACCAGGGATCAAACCCTGGGCCCCCTGCACTGGGAGCTTGGAGTCTTAGCCACTGGACCACCAGGGAAGTCCCACTCTGACAGACTCTAATGTGGCCTTTTACACATGGTCATTGCTCTGGGGTCACTGTCAGTCGACCCCGAGTCTCAACCACAACTGCTGTTACCTCCCTTGCTCTTCAGTTTCTAGGGGTGTTCTAGCAATTGGGCTGAACTGGGAGGAGGAAAATAGGAGGAATTCTTTCTTTTTGTTGCTCTGCATCTCACTGTCCATCGTAGCCAACACCAAGGAGAAATACCTTGAAATTCTTATCTTATTCTCTCTCTGTCCACATTGAGTTATCACCCCTGATGCTAAACATGTGCCTATCGAGGAGGGTGGTTCTACCACTCGGTCAAACACCCAAAGTTCTCATTTATATGGTCAAATCAAAAACACAAACACAATGGCAGGAAGACAGCTCCTCACACCATCTCACCCGTCTGCAACTGAATATTCTGCTACTCCAAACCTGCCATCAGTGATTAGGACAATGGTGATGAGTGTGGTAAGGAAAGGAAAACTGAGTGGGGTAAGGAAACTTGGGGAAGAAGCAGAAAGAGACCCAGAGAACAGATCTAACAGATTTCTCTTCTCCCAGTGTTTATGATTAGAGCCCCCAGTGAGGCCATCAAGGCTTTAAATACTTAGATGCTGCAATGGCTATTTTTAACAGACTGATGCCAATTTTGAGTGACAGTTCTAGGGTAGTGGAATGCTTCTGCTGGCTATAGGACATTTTTTACTGAGAGAACCATCACTGCAGAAAGGGCAGGCAAAATTAGTATTAAATGTTTAATGTCATTGCGTGCATATTAGTTTCAGGTTCAATCTAGGATAAAGATATTTTTACTGTACTTGCTTGAGCCTGCTTTATAATATGTCAAGGCGATTTATATAATCAGCATGTTCAGTATATTCATGTCCTTTTTATTGAGCATGTTAACCTAATTTTATTATATTAATAGAAAGGGATCATAGAAATGAATTGCTTTCAGTCTTGCTTTTCTATCAGGGATAGCCTGATGTAAGAGTGGCTGGTGGGTCCTATGGAGGGTGGACCTCTATACACTGTTGGCACAGTGAAGACTTTCACCCTCTGGTTCTCACTCCACCTTCCTCATCGGGGGAGGGGGCCTTGGAGGGTGGTGGGGGTGACAGGTGGTAGCTGGGGGGCAGGACAGAGAGGGTCCAGGGGGGTGATCACTGCAAAAGCACAGAGGCCAGAGGGTGAGGAGGCGGGTTGTTAGCTAGTCCATCTGGAGTGGGTGTAGAGCAGTTATGGCAGGTGTGGTGGGTTTGCCTGGGGTTAAAGGCAGTTTGGGGCTTCCTTTGTGGCTCAGTGGTAAAAAAAATATCCGCCTGCAATTCAGGAAACACAGGAGATGCAGGTTTGATCCCTGGTTCAGGGAGATCCCCTGCAGGAGGACATGGCCATCCACTCCAGTATTCTTGCCTGGAGAATCTCATGGACAGAGGAGCCTGGCATGCTGTCATCCATAGGGTTGCAAACAGTCGGACATGACTGAAGTGACTGAGCACGCACGCAAAGGCAATTTGGGGGCAGGTCGTGGAAGACCTTAGAAGTCAGGCTGAGGAGCTTGGATTGGAAGCTAAAGGAGCCAGGACAGTATAGCTTTGGTTCTGTGTTTTGAAGATCATAGCTAGCAGTATTGACCTGGAAGGGCCAGAACAGGAATGATGGGAAGCAGGGAGACTATTTCCAAGGCCACTGCAGTAACCCGGAGTCTGCACCAGGAAAAAGGTGGGAGCAGAGGAAAGTAGAGGATGGATATAAAAGGCTTCATGGAGAATAGAACCAATGGGACTTACAAACAACTGCCCTGGATCTGCTTTTCCCTCTGTCCCATCAACAATGCCACCAGAAACATCTTAGTGTCCCCCTTTACATCCACCCCACTCCAGATTGTGACATTAACAGACATGTCTCTCTTGCAGTTGACTTTTTTCATTGAGGACCCCAAGTATTGCCCTAAAAATATAATATTATATAATTTCTGAAAATCTCCTCTCACACTACTTACCCATATCGATGACGACCCACGTCACGGATGAGCCTCTCAGAGAGGTAGGCGCCAATGCGATCAAGCTTTTCAGGAGCTGAGAGGGCGTAGAAGGTCAGCTTCTCCATGTTGGTCTTCACCAGGCCATCCTGTAAAAGACAGGTAATCCTCACTGGGGCCATGTGATGGCTAGAGGAGTTCAAGTCCAAAGGTAAGTGATCATTCAATTTAATCAGTTTACCAGAGTTCCCATCATGTATGTGACAGGTAACATGTGGGTTTCGGGGATAGATGATTAAAACATAGACCCCACTCTCTAGGAGCTCACAACTTAGCCCAAAGTATGCTAGCTATAAATAAAAATAGTAAGTGATAGAAATGTACATATGTGTGTGCATATGTATATGATATGGGTTTACACACTTATATGTATATGCTCGTGAATATATATATATGTGTGTGAATGCATGTGTATATGGATGGATGACAAGACTTCAATGAAAGCAACCCAGAATTAAAACGTTTTGGATCTCCAAAACCAAGAAGTAAATAGAAAGAAGGCAGCTCTATAGCTTTCGGGGAATTGTCCAGAGGATGCTGGAAATGTAACCCCCCCACACCTGCCCATCAAGAAAGGCCACTGATTTCCAGAGAGCAAATCAAGTACATCAAACCTTGACATTTCTGAAACCACACGACCCACATTGCAGTCTAACAGTTGAGTGGCGGCTTGGAAAACCAAGAAACCAGGCGCCTCGTGTGCCCACCTGACACCTGGCAGATACCAGAGGGAGCACATAGGAGACCATGAGCTCTAGAGCCAAAACCAGGAAGGGAAATGCTCACACCTGACGTCAGGGAAATAGTACCCTCCAGAGAGTTAGCGGCTCCAGGAACTATCACCCAGAGAGAGACGAGTGAGCAAGGTGCTCAGCAGCGGCCAGAAGCACCAAGACAAACTTCTGAGCCCTCGGCAGATCTTGCCTTCAGAGGGGTCCGAAGCTCCTCAGCCTTCACTTCCAGCTGCCTCTGGTCATTGACAGGGCTATGGCTGTGGTTCCAGGCTGAGGGACCCTGGGGGGCTCGCCTCCCCTTGTGGCCCTGGATCGGGTGAGATGGTGAGGGGCACTCTGGCGCCAGGAGGTGGACCCACCTCAGGATCCTCAGGGAAGATGTTGTCCACCAGCCTTTTGTACCTGGGGCGCAGGGCACCGCAGCAGCCGCACACACCTGGAACGGGAACGAGAATGCCCTGTGAGCTAAGCCTCCCGGGACCAGGCTAGGCGGCTTCTGAGAAACCAAATCCAGGCTGGAAACAGAAGGGTCCCTCTGTTAGAGCACCAGGGCCTCAGTCCTTCCTGCTGTTTCCCCGCCCCACTCCCACTCTAAGACATTGCCTTTCTTGTTTGGTGTCTTTTGCTTGGGGATCAGGCATAGGTGCCAGCAAATCAGAATTTGTTCAAGAAACCAGGCCATTGAGCACACATGTGTGCGCACGCACACACACACACACACACACACATACACTCACACACTCACACACTCTGGGCCAAGACTATATAAAACTGCCTCTTGCAGCCCAAGACTCTTCCCCAGGTCCTGGGAGATCGTCCAGCTGGGAAGAGCAGTCACTCCACCTACTCCACCCTCTCGCTTTCTGTCCACTTCTCCGCTCTGGTCCTCAATCTATTTTACCATCCTCTCTCCTGGGGCCATTTCTATTATAGAATGTTCTGTGAAACTATGATAAATTAACATTGCCATTAATTATTAACCTTTGAAAATGCATCTTTAATACAATGAGACCACGGTGTTTGAAAGCCGTGGTCTTTGAAAGCTGGAGGGCTTCCGGGGGCCACAACACCAGCCCTCTCCCACCGCAGGAGATTCTCACCAGTCTGGGGCAAAACAAAAGCTAAGAATAACGTGGGCTTCCTTGGTGGCTCAGTGGTAAAGATTTCACCTGCAATGCAGGAGCCATAGGAGACTCAGGTTTGATTCCTGGGTCAGGAAGATCCACTGGAAAAGGTAATGGCAGTATTACCAGTATTACCCGCTCCAGTATTCTTGCTTAGGAAATCCCATAGAGGAGCCTGGTGGGATACAGTCCACGGGGTCACAAAGAATTGGGCACGACCGAACTGACCGAGCGAAAGAATAATGTACGTTTTCAGAAAGCTGCAGACTGACGTGAGCTCCTTTGTGAGACAGTGTTAGGAAATCAGTGATAATAGAACAAACTTTGGGAAAATAAAAAGTTGATGATTCTAGAGGTCCCACCATAAGAAGTTTTCAATTAGAACCACTGCGCTTTTCCTCCCTTTCATCCTCTGCAGACACCTTCCTTGGCAGATCCCAGCTGTACCCTCCCAGAATTGGGAAGGGGGCAGTGACCCCTGAGGGAGAGGAGAGGATAGCAGGGAAGGGCCTGGGAAAGTCCACCCGCTTCCAAAATAATTGCCTTCTCACTCTACCAATTAAACACTTAATTTTGTTTGTACAAATGCTCTACTTGAAATGCAAAGGTGCCCAGGAAGAATCAAGCCTACGGGTCATTCAGAGAAGAATGAACTACTTTAGTGGGAATTACTTTAATCACACAAAGAGCCACAAAGAGCTTTAGAGCGGAGAGAAAAGCGGCTGGGGGGCGGAGCAGGGGTGGGGGTGGGGGGACCTGGACTGGGAGGGGGTCGGAGGTGGGCGGCACCACCAGGAGGAGGAAGGAACAGAGCAATCTAGGCTCCCAGGGAGACTCAGGTGTTAGGGGATGGGCGAGTCCCTGGGGAAACGGGGGCACTCCAAAGGCAGGATATCAGATTTCTGATATCAAGGGATCACCAGGGTCCCAGTGTGTCCCCCAGCCCCCCACCCACCCCAGGCACAAGGAGGATGGTGGAACCAGTCCATGGCTGCACACTGGCCTCTGGGTTCCATCTTTCTGGGCTGAACTGGCACTGGCATCGCCCCATCTCCTCCCTGCCCGCCTGGGAGAAGGTGTGAGGGCTCCAGCTGGCTGGCATCCAGGGCTATCTCTTGTGATGGGGCAGCTCCCTGGGGGGACCCTAACCCCAAGGCTCAGGATTGAAACCTGCCCTTGGGCCCTCTACTCAGAGCAGCCATCACTGCACTTCTTCTAGGATGCCCCGGAGCACGGGCCCTGCACGCTAAAACAGCAACATGGACCTGTTTGCATCTTAAAGGGAGTCAGAACTAGAAACAAGGAGAATTAGAGCCCCCAAACCCTCCAATGTCCGTCCCATTTTCAAACCTTTCTGAAGGACCCATGAGCTGGGACCTGCCCTGCACTGAGGCCAAGCTCACGGCTGTTAGAAACCTGGACTTGTCTGAGAAAGCACAAGCCTATTTTGGGTACTCAGGGCAGAAACCTCAGTGCAGGGGACCCTTTTCCAGCACAGAGGCCCCCAGAAGCCATAAGGCAGGGGGAACCTATCATATGGAGGCCCGGGGATTTCCCTCCTGCGGGGAGAGGTGAGAAGACCGAAGAACAAGAGAGGTGAGTAGGTGCCCGGTCAGCAGAGCTGCCCTGCTTCTGGGTGCTTCCGGACCTACAGGCTTCCCCGGTGGCTGAGATGGTAAACAATCTGCCTGTAGTGCAGGAGACCGGGGTTCAATCCCTGGGTCAGGAAGATCGCCTGGAGAAGGAAATGGCAACCCACTCCAGTATTCTAGACTGGAGAATCCCATGGACAGAGGCTACAGTCCATGGGATTGCAGAGTCGGACACGACTGAGCAACTAACTTGACCTACACCCTAGCAATTCCTTCTTGTCCACTCTTTCATTCCAGCCTCCTCTGACCCCTGGAGGGCAGGGGCTATTTGAGGCCAAGTGGGCAACAGCATAAGTTTCCAATCAAATCCTGGCACTGCTACTTCCCAGATGTGACGATGCGCAAGGAGTGGCATTCTGTGGGTGCGGGTGTCCTGGTTTAGCGCTTGGGGTTGCTGTGAGGCCAAAGCCGAGTTTATGCTGCAAAGCACTCAGGGCAGATCACCACCAGCCGCCCTCCCCTCCGCGTTCCCCAGCCCAGAGCGGCAGAGCCGTCCCCAGACTGCCAGCTGGTCCACGCTGGCTGGTACCTCTAGTGCAGCTTCCCCACTATTCACTTACTCAGTAATGGTGACCAACTGGAGGCCTAAGAAGTGAGAGTCCCAGAACGTTCCTTCAGAAGACCTAACCTCACTGGCCTATGGGTCTGCAATGATACAACCTCAACCTCCAGTCACTGCTGGCCGGCTTCTCAAAGTCAGCATTCCTGAACTGCAGCAGCCTCAGCACCAGCTCCACAAACCTCAATGCAAATATGAAATATTTCCAGCATAAACAACAGACCAGAGTCAAATGCTGTTGAAAGATAAAGCAAGATGTTCACTGGAGAGAACCCACGGGACTGGCTGGCTGTTGGAGGGTCACCAGGAGAGCAGCCGTGGTGGGTAACTAACAAGCACTCTTCAGAAAAGGGTCTGAGGATGAATAAATCTATGAAACCATGCACATCAAATCCCCCATTTTAGATTCGCAGGCAAATAAGCTTACTAAAGCCTCTGAAAAGTCATAAGGCAAAGAAATCTATTTAAAATTTCAAATCAACATCTCCCCATTTTTCACTGTTATAAATAGCAACATGATGAATACTTTTAATATTCTTTTTTCAAGGCATATGTATTGCCTACTATGTGGGAGGGCTTTCCAAGTGGCGCTAGTGGTAAAGAAACTGCCTGCCAATGCAGGAGATGCAAGGGACATGGGTTCGACCCCCTGAGTCAGGAAGATCCCCCAGAGGAGGGCATGGCAACCCAATCCAGTATTCCTGCTTGGGAAATCCCATGGACATAGGAGCCTGGCAGGCTACAGTCCATAGGGGTTGCAAAGAGTCAGACACAAGCAACTTAACATGCCTGCACTAGATGGGAACAGAAAGCTATACACTACTGTAAACAGAGTACATTGGAAACAGTGCTATTTTTTTAAGGTCTTAAATAGGATTTTATTTTAGAATATAAGAAATAATTAAAATAAGTGGATTAAGTTTGAAACTTAGCAAAATGAAAAGAGAAACACAGAGTTAAAATATGAGAAGATGTTAAGGAAACAGAAAACAAATAGCAAAATAATCGCAAAATATAACCTCATTATTTGAAAATACTCACAGGCAAACACCAAAAGATACATCAAAGAAAAAGAGATACACCAAATAATAAGTTTAGGAACACAAATGGAACATACACAGGGAGAAAAGTGTTGAAAAAGGAACACCAGTAAATGTGAATATCAGATGAAATGGACACTTGTTAAAAAGTGTAAAATTAGTGAAATTGGCCCAGTAGTATACTTGAATAGACCAAGACCAGAAAAGAAATCCAAATGGTATTATTGATCTGTCTCTACAGAAGGCACCAAGGTGACTGTTGTCAACTCTTCAAACAACAGGGGTTATTGGTGGCAATTATGCTCCATAGAGTCACTATTAACAGAAATAGTGCTAATTTTGGAGTTTAAAAGGTTTTGAGTTTAAGTCCCAGTTCTGCCATTTGATCTTTGAGACTCAGTTTTCTCATTAATATAATAAGAGAAGATTTCCACCTAAGGTACAATCCTATGATTAAAGTCCCAGACCATTTGCAATAGAATCTAGAAAGGGAGAAAACACCTTGAACTCTGCTGGTTGGGGGAAGGCTTTTCAGGAGAGGACAGACAAGAAGATGAGGGGCAGGAGTCACAGGGCAGTGGCTGCTTTACTTCTTATGTTCCAGTTCAGTTCAGTTCAGTTCAGTTGCTCTGTCGTGTCCGACTCTTTGCGACTCCATGGTCTTCAGCATGCCAGGCTTCCCCGTCCATCACCAACTCCAGGAACTTACTCAAACTCACATCCATTGTGTCAGTGATGCCATCCAACCATCTCATCCTCTGTTATCCCCTTCTCCTCCCACCTTCAATCTTTCCCAGCATCAGGGTGTTTTCCAATGAGTTGGTTCTTCACATCAGGTGGCCAAAGTATTGGGATTTCAGCTTCAGCATCAGTCCTTCCAATGAATATTCAGGACTGATTTCCTTTAGGATGGACTGGTTGGATCTCCTTGCAGCCCAAGGGACTCTCGAGTCTTCTCCAACACCACAGTTCAAAAGCATCAATTCTTCAGTGCTCAGCTTTCTTTATGGTCAAACTCTCACATCCATACATGACTACTGGAAAAACCATAGCTTTGACTA